AATTTTTTCCAAAAAGAAATGTAAGAAGTTGTCGCACAGCTCAGTCGAGGCTTCCAGAGGTGATGGTTCAGTGAGGTGGAGAACAGAGTTTAGGGTGGAGAAGAGGACACGCGGGTTGCGAGAGTTAGAGGTAATTATATCAGAGAAGTATTTGGATTTAGCAGCTTTCACTGCTTTCTGATAAAGGCGCCAACTCTCTTTAAGTATTTGAAAAGAGACCTGCAGCCTGTCTTTCCTTTTGTGATGATATGAGCAGCCAGCCTTAAGAAATAAGCTGGATCAAGACCTTTTAACAGTTTATTTACCTCACTAACTGAGAATGGAGATAAAGAGAAGGTGTGATTAACTGAGGATTGACTTTTAGGAGGGATTTGATTTGTAGAAGTTTGGTTATTAAGTGAGGTGGCTGATTTTCCATTAGTAACTGTGTGAAATAAAGAAATAGAAGCAACAAAATGTTTGTTGAAACAGTTCAGGATCTTGTGCGTATTTGACACAGGAACAGGGTTAATGAGAAGTTGTGATGGGAGGTCAGATGATTGGGGGCTGCCTGAGAGAGATTTGATGGTTTTCCAGAATCTGTTAGGGTCATTTAGGTTTTTGGGTGACTGAGATAAGATATAGTTGCGTTTTGCTGCTTTGATGACAGTTGTGCATTTATTCCTCATCTGTCGAAAACTCAACCAGTCAGTGTCTGAGCCAGAATTTCTCATTGCAGCCCAAAGATGATCTCTCCTGTGCAGGAGGTCAGCTACCTTTGGAGTAAACCAGGGGCTGTCTCGTCCTTTTATTCTGAACTGACGAAAAGGAGCATGTTTGTTCACAAAATAAATGAAACTTTTATGAAAATAGTTCCAACCAGAGTTCACGTCATCAGTTAATAGAATACGATGCCAGTCAAAGTGAGATAGATCCCAGAGGAATGACTGTTCGCAAAAGCGTTTCAGATCCCTTTTTTGAATAAACCTGGGCTTAGAATGTAGACGTTTAATGTCTCTGAGAGCCACTATTACACAATGATCACTTAAAATGTCTGCGAATACACCTGTACCAGGGAATTTGTGAGGCATATTTGTTAGAAACAGGTCTAAGATGGAAGACTTTTCAGGACGGTTTTTGTTTGGTCTAGTGGGAGAGTCGATCAATTGGGTTAGATTGAGTGACAAGCAACATTCCTTGAATTTATCACAGAGGGGGATCGACTTATCCCAGTCAATGTTGAAATCTCCTGCCAAAAGGATCTCTTTGAATTTTAAATTTCCAAGGAATTCCATCAGGGAGGACAGAGCCTCAGGTGTTGCTGAAGGAGGATGATAACAACCCACTACAGATAATATCTGACCACCATTCAAAGTGATGTTTATAGCTAAGGCCTCAAACTGGTTTGGAATTGTTTTAACAGACACAAGACTAGAAACCAGAGAATCTCTGATGTAAATAGCGACTCCACCCCACCTTTTTTGACGATCACATCGATAGATGTTAAATCCATTGATTACCAGGTTGTTATTCAGTACAGATTTGTTGAGCCAGGTTTCAGAGATGAAGATTACATCTGCTCCAGAAGAACTGACCAGAATTTTCAAGGCATCAATTTTTCATTTACATGCAGAAAATGAAGTCCTGACGTTTTTAAAGTCATTTGGTGTGCTGTAATTAGTGGGGTGTCCAGGGTTGGGCTGAATTCCTGAGAGCAGTAACAACATTATTATCAGACATTTTCTTGAGTTTTTCGTGACTGCTATGTAATTACAGGAGTTAACAGTGTGACAATTAGTCCCCATAATTGAACCAGGAGAAACATTAATGAAGATGCGATCATTCAGAATACAAAAACAGTGAAAGTTGCAATGATGGGCAGATCCAGGTGTATTAACCAGATTCAGTGACCCCAGATAATCTGAGATCTGAAAATAATGACAATAATATAAATGGTGCAGAAAAGTCTCAGACCATAAAGCATCACAAATCAAATGGACAAACAAGTCCGACGAGGTGGCCCGACTGCAGTTTGAGTTGGGCTGAGGGGGGCTCCGGCCCCCCGTGCGAAGACGGATGGATGCTCCCATAAGAAACAGAAGCTGGGTCCAGAATCAACAGGCAGAAACGGATAATTTGCAGCAAACAGCAGAGCGAGCTGCCAGAAAATCCTCCTGAAATGAAAGGCATGGTCCTAGCCCGTTTCAGGTTAACAGGGGACAACAACGTGATCCGGAATAAAAATAATTATTATCTAGGTGAATTTGGAAGGAGGCCTGCAGCAACTCTGATGCAAACTCCAAACTTCTCTCGAGCACCACACAACGCTGCTCCTCCGCTTCTCTGCACTTCACCGCCGCACCCCACAGCACAAGAGGACACCCCCAGTGAAAAACGACGAGGCTGACCGGAGAAGCTGAGGCTGAAGTTATCTATGGTCCGGTCCGGTTCTGCTCCAGTCTGGCTCCGGCGCTCCACAGCACGAGAGACAAAGAGGCTGAAGTTGTCCCTGACCCGGTTCTGCTCCGGTCCGGTTCCGGCGGCGCTTCAAAGCATCAGAGGGTCTCCTCCAGGCGAAAGCAGCAATTCCACAGAGGTGGACAGTCCTTCGTTAAAAGGTAATGGGCTGCTCACTGAAAATGAGACCGGCTCTATTAAAGACGTAGTCCCCCACAGCCAACTCAGTTCGGTTCTGGTCCAGTTCGGGGGACACAGGTACACTTCCCCCACACCAATGAAGACACCACGAGGGCCAGTCCAGCAGAAAATCAGCAAAAAAAAACATCAAAATACCACCCAGCGATTCTTGTCGGAACCAGGTAGAACCACAAAGGTCCAGATGAGAAGTTCGTTGGGGTCCCGAGAGAGAAAGAAAAAAACACCAGACCTTCGTGCGACGACTCCCCAGCTTGCAAATTGCAGTTCTAAAACACCCTTTTTTCAATTTTGCTGCATTTGGCACAATTCTCATGAATAAAATCTCTTGTTTTCACAAGGAACACACTGTTATTCAAAGTTCTAAAATTTATTACCCTACTATGCACACTGGCTCATCACATGGGCAAACACTGTTCACACAGTATATATATATATGTATATATATATATATATATATATATATATATGTATATTATATTTATATGTTACCGTTTATTAGTGTGCTCTGAGTGAAAAATTACTATTCTAAAATATTGTACAACACACTGATGTATGTACTATCTGTACAAGTGTAACACTGAACAAAAAAGGGCCTGTCATTATGATGATTGGATAGAAGTGTTTTACACAGAGTACATCAGTGTTTAACTGGTTCTTATAAATGTCTATTCATATGATGGTTTGTGTGTTTCAGCTGGGAACAAAATATCATTTTGAGAAGAGAAAACGTTTTGAATGTAAAGTTTGATTTTGAAGGAGAATTGAGGGGTTTTGCCCATTGTGTGTGGTTTTTTGACTAGTGTGTAGAGTTCTGAGAGTATGAGGCATGCTTTCAGAAAACGTGTTTAAACAATTGAGAAAAACTGTAACTTAAGAGTAAGTTAATGTTTCTGTAAAGATGTTAACACAAGCTGCAGATGGTGAAGAAGAGCCAAGAACCTCCCGTGTGAAGCGTGGGATACCCACTGCAGAACTGCCTACAGTTTGTCCTCCAGCAGTCCAAGCCTATAGCAGCATAACTAAGGGATAGCTCAGGAAAGACGAGCCAACCCTATCTATTGGATTTAGCAAAAAGGAAAGTCTTAAGCCCAGTCTTAAAACTGGACAATGTGTCAGACTCACGGACAGAAACTGGAAGTTGGTTCTACAAGAGAGGAGCCTGATAACTGAAGATCTTCCTCCCATTCTGTTTTTGGAAACTCTAGGAACCACAAGTAAACCTGCAGTCTGAGAGTGAAGTGCTTTGTTAGGAAAATATGGAACAATAAGATCTGTAATATAAGATGGAGCTAGGTTGTTGAGAGCTTTGTAGGTTAGAAGTAAGATTTTGAATTAGGTTCTGGATTTGACAGGGAGCCATTGGAGAGAAGCTAAATCTCTCCCACTAACTCCAGTTAAGACTCTGGCAGCAGCATTTTGGATCAACTGAAGACTTTTTAATAATGTTTGTGCACACCCAGATAGTAAAACAATTGTAGTCCAGCCTAGATGTGACAAATGCATGTGCCAGTTTTTCTGCATAATTTTTGGACCAGATGATTCTAATCTTAGTGATATTAAGATATAGAACGTGTGTGTAATAGAGTGCTGTATGAATGTGTGTGGAGGTAAATGAGGGCACAGCTTGTGTTGTAAAGAGCTTTGAATATCTTGATTAAATGGAAAGGCTCTATAAGTACAGTCAGTTTAGCATTATTTTAAGTTTCATTAAAGTCTGTTAGTTCATGAGCAAACAGAACACAAATGACAACATGATTAGCCGTTACCTTTCTGTGGTGTGTGATCAAAATGCTGTTAAACTTCATGAAACTCAAACCTAATGTCTGGTCAACATGTAAATATTTGAAATTTTAACATTGGAAAGTCTTGAGTTGATATTAAAAATAACTCCCATGATTTATGAGAAAACAGCTTTTTATATAAAAGATAATGGATGGATGGATGGAAATTTTATGCACGTATTTTTGTATTAAAATCACTTTTTTTCCCCACATTTCTGATGGTTATGATGCTATTTGTCTCAGTTCTGTTTTTGTCTTCTTGTATAGTTAATGTAAAATTTTGTCCTTATTATTAAAGTTCATTTTAAATTATTCCGTATAATCCAGATAGATTTGTTTTAGTTCCATGAGTATAGAAACAGATCAACAAATCTGTGTTAAAGAAGGAAAGAAGGAACAGTTCGTATTGATCCAGTTAGTATTTGTGAGTTTCACACACGTGAAAGGAGTACTTGAACGCATCACGAGACCGGTCGGACCGGACAGGTGAGTTTTAGAGCGGAACTGACCTCGAACCTCAGCTCAGACCGAACCTTACCTGACGTCCGTGTGACTGACGGGAGGTAAACACCGACCGGGTTCGGAGGTAAACCTTCACCGAGAGACATCATCATCATCCTCATCGAGCAGGTGAGTTCACCTGTAAACTACCGACCGGAAATGAGTCTTGATGAGAAACAACAGCTTTTCGACCCGTTTCAGTTGAAGAAATATGTAATGTGAAAACTCCAGTTTGACTGTTTCTGTCAGATTAACTTCCATCCGCTGAAAAATCAGTCTGTGGAAATGAGCACAGAACCTGACTTTAGTTCCTGGAACCTTCATCCGGTCAGTCTAGTCAGCTGCGATGTTATTGCTGAAGGTGAAATCTGTGTATCTCCTGTCTGTTAGCAAAATACTTCAACCACTGGACGTATTTTAATGAAACTCCAAAACTAATCACTGGAATAACGTGTACAACTTATTTAAGATGTCTGCTACCTCAGTAGATCTCAACCACAGACAGTGGTGTTTGAAAGTTTGTGAACTCTTTATAAATTTCTAAATTTCTGCATCAATTTGACCTAAAACATCATCAGATTTTCACACAAGTCCTAAAAGTAGATAAAGAGAACCCAGTTAAACAACTGAGACAGAAATATTATACTTGGTCATTTATTTATTGAGGAAAATGATCCAATATTACACATCTGTGAGTGGTAAAAGTATGTGAACCTCTAGGATTATCAGTTAATTAGTCCCGAGCAGCGAAGCGCTGTGAAGGCCTATTGTTATCGCACTGCGGTAGTTAGTTCTATTTCGTATAGGCTTCGCCCTTTAAGGCTGTCGCTGGTGGGTTTATCCCGTCATGCAAAGCATTGCACTGAAAAAATTTAGCCCACGCCCACCTGTTGTGTGGGCCCCACCCGGTCCGTATAAATTACGTTAAGAGCGGGTAATCGGCTCCCATTTTTTCTTCAGCAAGCTAATAGCACTGTCAGAAGAACGAAGAAGGAAAGTTGTCCAGCTTGACCGGCACAACCTTTACTAAGGCTGCCTGGGTCCCCGCCACGCCAACCTCCTGCCGTCCCGGTGAGTTCTTCCTCCCCGAGGAGAAGCAGACGAGCAGCTTTGTTCAAGGTAAGCGCTGAGGAGTACTTTCCGTGGCGGGTCGCTACCCACTGGACGACGATATCGACCCTTTCTTAACGCCGACTCTTGGAGCGAATCGGATGTTTCCTGTGGGACAGGCGACGTCAGCAGCAGCCCCCGCTGCTCACTCCCTCCTGGAGAGCGTAGTGTCGGAACGAGGGGGGCTGAGCGAATGCTCCCCCCCCCCCGGGCTTTTTTGCATCATCGACCACACCGCTCCCAGCCGTCGGTGCCCTCCTCTCGGAGCTGCCCGGCATAATCCAGGAGGTGGCTGACACAAAGGGACTTTCTGTCCCTCTCCTTCCCCCGCTCAGATCGGATGATCTAGCGAGAAGGTTTGGTTCCACCCCAGCTCGCCGTCCTGATCCCATCTGGCCTCGTCTCCCAGCAGTGACGTCCTACTGGAACGAGGCTGCAGCCGGACCTGGTAGACTGAGAGCACCGGTTTTCATATCTGCGCCCATCACCATAGTGGAAGGGTTTACTGAGCGGAATTTCCCTCGGTGCCCCCCCTGACTCACCCACTCACCCAAAACTTAGATAAAACTACTCTCCAAGATCAGTCAGACGATGCACACGTGTTGGTTATGAAATGCATAAAAATGAGAAATAAACACGTGTGCATCGTCTGACTGGGCTTGGAGAGTAGTTTTATCTAACTTTTGGGTGAGTGGGGCAAATCGTAAAATGTATTGCTTTTTGTTTCTGAAGAGTGACTGCGTTCAATAATTTGTTGACGGTCCCTAAGTGAACCATTACGTCTCTGAGTAGGGGCAGGTTGAGCGTGGCTGACCGAAATCAGACAGCCTGAAGTGGATTGACGAGAGCAACACACTGCTGAAGCCATGGAGCCCGAATATCCAACGTCCAATGTAAAACTAACTTTACCGCGGTTGTAATCGCTCTGTTCAGGCTCGAGCTGCAATTTTTTCTGCCAAATGAATTGGCGTTTTGGGGGCCTTAACATATCCTAAATGTCACCGAATTTGGAGGACGCATCAGGACTGCTGAAAAATTACGTATTTTAAGGGCGTGGAAAAAATCGCAACAGAAACAGCTCAAGAGCGCTACCTAGATATTTTCAAAATATCCTCTGCATTAACCTTATTTTGTTGTAGAAACATGAAATTTGGTACACTTGTCCAATTCCCCAAGATGCACAGAAAAACCCCTGGCACCAACGATGTACGATGAACAGGACGGCAGCCATTTTGGAATGCTGGCCCAATTTTCACACCTTTTTGGCAGTTTACATCCTCCGCATTTGAACAAACTCCTCCTAGGGATTTCGCTCAATCGGTTTCAAACTTGGCCATTTTGGTCAAAAGGCATGGGGGACGCAAAGTTTTCTAAACGTTTCGTTTTGGAGCATGTGGAATGGACGGGGCCAGAACTCAAAGTTTGACATCTCACCATGAAAAACGAAACGCTAATAGCTCCTACATGAAAAATGTCTGAGACATCAAACCTTCAGTGATTGATCCATATCAGGTCCCCTGCAAGATTGAATGGTCAAATCATGACATCACTTAAGCCATGCCTCCTGACAACAGGAAGTAGTTTACGTTGATCAATCCTTATCTGACCCCTGTTACCTGATCAGCATGATAGTGTGTCCATTGACCGAAAACATGTTGGTGTAACTTGCTTTCCAACACTGACAGTTTGGGGTGGAGCATGTGGGCGGCGCGGCGTGGCGAAGTAAGACGTAACGCCATCGCCATACATTTGGCTCTAAATTTCACAGTTTTGAACCGAGGTGCACCAAAATCAGTATGATCGATCATTATCAACCCCTTGAACAGGAAGCCATGATAAGTGGCCAATAGCTTCAACAGTGTCCCCTAGAATATTTAAAAACCTCAGCCCCAAGCCATTTTTGGACCGATAATTCTGAAACTCGTTGAAAACCTGTATCTTCTCAGGACCTCTGAAAAAGTCTATTGGAGCCCTGGTCCAAAACCAACAGGAAGTCGGCCATTTTGGGTCAAAGGGTCATTTTTGGGCATTTCTAATTGCAAATTTTAACAAACTCCTTGGAATTTTGAAGGATTGCCTTCAAACTTGGTTGATATGCCCTTAACACATTGGAGAGTAAAAGATATTTAAATTTTGCATTTTCGTATATGTTAAAGGGGCGTGGCCAGGCCTCATATTTTCTCTTCACGCCATAAATTTCCAAACACAATAACTTTCACATTGAAAGACCGAAATGCACGAAACTTGACATGACTCATCCCTGTTGGATGCCCGATGATCCACTGTGGTCATATTTTGATGTGATCAAAGCCCCACCCTCTCGGAACAGGAAGTCTCTTTTTAACTTGGAATAATCCTTCTTTGACACCATTGACCTAATCAGGATGATCCTGTGTTAGAAGACAGATAATATGATCTGACTTGATTTAAAGCGCAAACCGTTTTTGCTTGAGGATGTGGACGTGGCGGCGTGGGGAATTAAGAAGTGACGCCGTTGCAATACGTTTGGCTCTAAATTGCACAGATTTCAGCCGAGGTGCATCAAAATCACTATGATCGATCATTATCCGCCCCTTGAACAGGTATCCATGATAAGTGGCCAATATCCTCGAAAGCACCACCTAAATTATACCTACAGTTATAGCTCAGTGATACAACATCTGTTCTGCACCTGATTTATTTTGCATCATCAGTGAGGACTTTTAGACACATTGATATTGTGGTTTAACATATGACTCTAGTGCGTCCCCTAGATTATTCCAACAGTTATATCTCAATGATACATCATCCTATCTGCACCAGATTTTTTGGTGCGTCATTTGTGAGCATTTCTAGACACATTGGTATTGTTGTTTAACATTTGACTCGAGCGCCCCATACATTATTCAAACTGTTATATCTCAATGATATATTATCCGGTCTCCACCAGATTTTTTTGTGCATGATCATTGAGCACTTCTACATACATTTGTGTTGTTATTTAACATTTGACTCGAGTGCGCCCCTTAGATTATTCCAAAAGTTATATCTGTGATATATCATCTGATCTGAACGAGATTTTTGGTGCGTCATTAGTGAACACTTCTAGACAAATTGGTATTGTTTTTTAACTTTTTACTCCAGTGAGCCCCCTAGATTTTTCAAACAGTATCATCCAATATGTACCAGATTTATTGTGCGTGATCAGTGACCACCTATAGACACATTGGTATTGTTCTTTAACATTTGACTCAAGTGCGCCCCTACATTATTCCAACAGTTGTATCTCAGTGATACATCATCCAATCACAACCAGATATTTTTATGCATAATTAGTGAGCACGTCTAGACACATTGATATTGGGGTTTAACATATGACTCAAGTGTACCCCCTAGATTATTTAATCAGTTATATCTCAGTGATATATCATCTGATCCAGGCCAGATTTTGGGTACGTCATTAGTGAACACTTCTAGACACACTGGTATTGTTGTTTAACTTTTGACTCAAGTCCGCCCCTAGATTATTCCAACAGATATATCTCAGTGAAATATCATCCAATATGTACCAGATTTTATGTGCATGATCATTGAGCACTTATAGACACATTGATATTGTTCTTTAACATTGGACTCAAGTGTACCCCCTACATTATTCCAACAGTTATATCTCAGTGATACATTATCCAATCTGAACCTGAGTTTTTGTGCTTCATCAGTGAGTACTTGTACACACATTGATATTGTTGATTCATGACATGACTTAAGCCCCACCTACTCAGAGAAAAAACAGTTGATTATTGGATGACATTTCCAGCTTTGCACTGTGTAAGATATTAGACTGAAACTTTGTTCGCTAACTGTTGATTATCACACATGACATGTTGAAAAGCACAAAGGAAGTGCTTGTCAAACATTCACCACAAAACAGGAAGTCACCATAACTACTGTCTGGAAGGTCAGATTTCACTTATACTTGTAAGACCTGCAGCTGGACAAGTAACGACATGGACGAAAGGCGATGTAGAAGATTCAGGAAATGCACCCCGTGGTGAACGTGTGCGGGATTGCCACGAGAGCGTTCGCGTTAGTGTCTGGGTGGACTAGCTGGAACTCCCGCGGTTGCCGTAAGGCCAGAGGGACGCTTTGCTGCGAGGGCCTCCAATGCTGCTTGCAGCTTTAATTTGAAGGTGAAATTAGAATCTGGTGTTTTCAATCAATGAGATGATGATCAGGTGTGAGTGGGCACCCTGTTTGATTTGTTTAAAGAACATAATCTATCAAAGTCTGCTCTTCTCAACATGTTTGTGGAAGTGGATCATGGCAGGAACAAAGGAGATTTCTGAGGAGCTCAGAAAAAGAGTTGTTGATGCACATCAGGCTGGAAAATGTTACAAAACATCTGTAAAGAGTTTGGACTCCACCAATCCACCATCAGACAGTGTACAAATGGAGGAAGTTCAAGACCATTGTTACCCTCCCCAGAAGTGGTGGACCAACAAAGATCACTCAAAGGTGTGCAATGGTTGGCAAGGTCACAAAGGACCCCAGGGTAACTTCTAACAACTGAAGGTTTCTCTCACATTGTTAATGTTAATGTTCATGAGTCCACCATCAGGAGAACACTGAACAATGATTCATGGCTGTGTTGAAGGAGAAAGACAATGCTCTCCAACAAGAACATTGCTGCTCGTCTACAGTTTGTTAAAGCTCATGTGGACAAGACAGAAGACTGTTGGAAGAATGTTTTGTGGACGGATTAGACCAAAATATAAGTTTTTGGTTTAAATGAAAAGAGTTCTGTTTGGAGAAATGAAAACTGCATTCCAGGCAGCACGGTGGCGCAACTGGTAGAGCTGCTGCCTCTCAGCGAGCAGGTCCTTGGTTCAAACCCCGGTCCAGGGGCCTTTCTGGGTGGAGTTTGCATGTTCTCTCCGTGCATGCGTGGGTTTTCTCCGGGTACTCCGGTTTCCTCCCACAGACCAAAAACATGCATGTTAGGCTGATTGGTAACTCTAAATTGTCCCTAGGTGTGAGTGAGAGAGTGAATGGTTGTTTGTCTCGTTTGTCTCTCTGTGGCCCTGTGATGGACTTGCGACCCGTCCAGGGTGTACCCCGCCCCTCGCACAGTGATTGCTGGACATGGGCACTGGCGACCCCGTGACCCAAAATGGAATAAGCGGGTAAAGATAATGGATGGATGAATGGATGAAAACTGCATTCCTGTATAAGAACCTTATCCCATCTGTGAAACATGGTGGTGGTAGTATCATGCTTTGGGCCTGTTTTGCTGCATCTGGACCAGGACGACTTGTCGTCATTGATGGAACAATGAATTCTGAATTATATCAGAGAGTTCTGAAGGAAAATGTCAGAACATCTGTCCATGAACTGAATCTCAAGAGAAAGTGGGTCATGCAGCAACAATGACACTCAGCACACAAGTGGTTCTACCAAAGAATGGTTCAAGAAGAATAAAGTTCATGTTTTGGAATGATCACGTCAAAGTCCTGACCTTAATCCAATCCAGATGTTGTGGAAGGACCTGAAGCAACAGTTAATGTGAGGAAACTACCGACATCCAGAGTTGAAGCTGTTCTGTACGGAGGAATGGACCAAAGTTCCTTCAAGCTGCTGAGCAGGACTGATGCATGGCGGGGATGTCACACCAAGTACTGAAAGCAAAGGTTCACATACTTTTACCACTCACTAATATGTAATACTGGTATAATCACTTTCTTCAATAAATAAACAAGTATAATATTTTTGTCTCATTTGTTTAACTGGGTTCTCTTTATCTACTTTTAGGACTTGTGTGAAAATCTGATGATGTTTTAGGCCATATTGATGCAGAATTATAGAAAATTATAAAGAGTTCACAAACTTTCAAACACCACTGTATACATTTAACTTACCCAGTTTTAGTTGTTGAGCTGAACTGGGTGTGGTAGTAGCTACTGGTAAGTCATTTTTCAGATATTTGCGCTTACTGATCACACAGTCTGAAAATTTCCTATAAAAGGTTGAAGTCGGCCATGTTTTCCATCCTTTTATGAATGAATGGATCAAGAACAATCCATCATGGATGGATGGATTGTTGTTTAAAGCAGTTGTAGGTTTGATGGGCAGTAATTATTAATTATTAATTAAAAATTGTTGTATTTGTTTCTACAGAGACTGTAGAGTCCCAGTCCACATGTCTTCAGTTGGATTTGGTTCTGCCACCAGGTTTGATCGAGTCAGAGAAATGCCATACTATGACCAAGTCCCAATGGGCTCCCCATGGCCAGACATTGAACCACCCCCACCCCCATCATCCTTGTATGAGACGGTTCCAGCAGTCATTGTAGACTCCCTTCCACCTCCCCCTCTGCCACTACAACCAGCTGTTGGACCCGAGTCTTTCTATTCCCCCAGTGACGACCGGCCCATGGAGAGTGACTCTGATGCCATGGACATCAAGCCAGTCCATCGCTTCATCCCCGACTCTGTCAAGAACTTCTTTCGTAGAGGGAGCAGCAGGAGTCGGTCCAGTTCCTCTCATCCACGGTCATATTCTCCTGCTTCCTCTTCCAAAAAGAGTACCAATGGCCAAACCACATCAGGGGTCCCCTGCTCACCTCCCAACTCTGCCCCTCCCTCTCCATCACTCCCCAACTCCTATCGGGACCCGTACGGTGGTTCTGGAGGCAGCTACACTCCTAAAAAGGAGCGAGATGGTTTTTTGCTGGGTGCTGAAGCAACGGATTTAGCCTCTACAGTTCCCAGTAATCAGTCAGTCCGGACCTACCAGGAGCGGGTGGAGGAGTATCATCAGCGCTACGCGTACATGAAGTCTTGGGCCGGTCTGTTGAGGATCCTGGGTTGTGTTCAGCTGTTGCTTGGAGCAGCTGTGTTTGCCTGCGTCTGTGCTTACGTTCATAAGGATAATGAATGGTTCAACATGTTTGGATACTCCCAGCCGCAGCTGTATGGAGGGTTGGGTGGAGGTGCATACGGGTATGAGACCACTTACTACTCAGGCCCAAAGACTCCTTTCATCCTGGCTGTGGCTGGTCTGGCGTGGATAGTGACTGTGATTCTGGTCGTTCTTGGGATGTCCCTGTACTACAGAGCCATCCTTCTGGACTCGTCCTGGTGGCCCCTAACAGAGTGCTCCATTAATCTGGTATTGGCTGTGCTCTACCTGGCAGCAGGGATTGTCTATGTGAGAGACACAACCCGGGGGGGTCTCTGTAGCTCGCCTGTCTTCAATAATGGGGTCAACGGTGCATTTTGTCGCACAGAGTCTGGTCAGGTAGCAGCCATCGTGTTCCTATTCATCACTACAGTTCTCTACTTCATCAGTGCAGGAGTTTGCCTGAAGCTGTGGAGGCATGAGGCAGCGAGGATGAGGAAGGAGGCGCTCAATCAGGAGGTCTGACACCAGCATGGCTTTGTTTTTGTTTCTGCAGACTCTTTTAAAATTTGACATTTTCTTTTTCTAGTAGTTCCCAACCCAGGTCCTCGGGGAACACCATCCTGTGTGTTTTAATTGTTTTCTTGCTCCAACACAACTGATTCAGTGATTTAATTACTTCCAGCTATTACTTCATTTTTTTCATTCAAGCTTTATTTATACAGGTTAGTCTGAGTCACGGGGACTCATTTACAAGAGAGTCCTGTATGACCTTCATACCATGGTCTGACCTTCATACCATGGTCCTCATGGACCCAGACCTTCATACCATGGTCCTCATGGACCCAGACCTTCGTGTTCTGCAGAAGCCTGTTAATCACCACTTCATTTAAATCAGATGTGTCAAAGCAGGGAAATGACTAAAACATTCAGGATGGTCTTCTTCAAGGACCAGGGTTGGGAACCATTGGAAACATTAGCATTAAATGAGTGCTAGTCAGTTTGTACCTCCACCAAACTGTACTCTTATTTCATACCCAGGGGTTGGTGTTTAGTAAACAGCTGTGGCTGAGTGGTTAGAGCAGTCGTCCTCCTATGCAAGAATTGGGGGTTCGGTTCCACCAGCAGTCACATGCCGAAGTGTCCCTGGGCAAGACACTGAACCCCTCATTGCCTCCGATGTGTGTCCCATCGGTGTATGAATGTGATAAAGCACTGATTAGTCTTTGTACAGAGTGCTGTATGAATGGGTAAATTAGGACACAAATTGTGTTGTGAAGAGCTTTGAGTATCTTGATAAAATAGAAAGGTGCTGTATAAGTACAGTCTGTTTACCAGTAGAGTACAAAACTTTTTAATTTAGCTTCAGTTAGTGTGTATCTTTATCATCAGGTCAATCTGACCTTGTACAACCTCAAACTGTGCTTTATTTCATAGTCAGCATCGTTTTGTAACATAATTACCATACCGTACCATTTTACTTATAGAGCACTTAAACAGCGACAAGGCCAACCAAAGTGCTGTACAGGCAGAACAACAGGTAACACACAAAGCAAAATACAAAATGAAGTAAATCAGAATATAGACATAAAAACGATGCAGATAATAAATATGACGACAAACCAGTGTGGAGCGTACAGGTTCAAAACACAGATCCTCTGGTATTCAAAGCTACTGGATAGTAGTGGGTTTTTAAACGGGATTTGAAAACCGAGTGGGAGGGGGCCTGTCTGACAAGCAGAGGTAATTCGTTCCCAAGTCTTGGTCCTGCTACAGAGAAGGCCCTGTCACCTCTGCGCTTAAGACTAGTTCCTGGAACTGTGAGGAGCAATTGGTCCGCTGACCTCAGGGAACGTGGTGGGACATACGGTTGTAGCAAATCAGAGAGATTGGGGGGG